GAAAGGAGGCGAGGAAGGTGAAGGGAAGAAGAAGGTTGGTGAGAGAAAGTGAAGCCAGCAGCCATAGCCGACCGGGGAAGTTGACCGGGAGAGTTGACCAAGCGTTGACCAGAGGTTGACCGGAGTCGGCCGGGAGTTGACCGGAGGTGACCAAGAGTTGACTGCAGCGTTGACTGGCGTTGACCAAAGCCGTTGACCACGAGTTGACCAAGCTGGAGCCGGTATAATCTCGCCCAGCCTTCAACCTATCCCTCGCCCTATGGATGTGCACACACCCTGTGGTACTTGCTGAGTCCAGTCTATCTGTCTCTTCTTTCTGCATCGAGTCTCTTCTGTCTAAGTGATAGTACTCCATGGATGAAGGATAGGGCCTTGTTGACCAAACCCACACGGGCTGAGTAGAGCTAAAGACTGTGTCTGACGACGCGACTGTCCCGGAGTCCTAGCCCTCCCAAGGACCGGTACTGACCGGCGGGCTGCTCGGTGTGGCACGGTAGGCCCAAAATCCGAGCTGTGGGCTGCACAACAGGCCGTCTAAGTGTTGAGAGACCTGCTGATCGCGTCGTCCTGTCTGCGACGTTAAATAATTCCTGAGGAGTTTCGGGGGATCTCCTTAAATGCCTCCTGATCAGCAACAGGTCTAGTAGTGACATCCATGGTGTAGGTCTAGGCTAGAGACCCTAGTTGACCGGATCCCTGTCCGGATTCTGTGAGTCTTAGATTGAGTCAGTAGGTTTGTCAGTCAGGGGTTAGAGTCTGCGTGGTGAGGTTTGGAACCACTAGTACGGTTGTGCACTTATCACCATGGTAGACACCCGGAGTGAGAAGAGCACTAGCCCCTACACTCTGGAGCAGCAAGAGAAGATGGTCGCCTTAGTAAGAGAGAACAAGGAGAGGAAAGAGCTCCTGAAACAGGCGAAGCTAAAGGCAATCGCAGAGGAGCACGCGGCGAAGATGAAGGAATTGGAGGAGGAGATGGAGAAGAGGAAGAAGGTTGCTAAAGAAGAAGCGGCAGCAGAAGCAGAAGAGGAGAGGAAACGCAAGGAAGTGAAGGGAGAGAGTCGTGGCACGGCGAATGACGACGCTGCGATGGAAAAGAAAGTCGGTGAGTGGATTGCTAATTTATCATTGGGGGAAGATGAGGAGGCAGAGTTTTATGTGCCCCAGGACGAGAGGGATGCGTTAGCCAATGAGTTAGCAGCAATGGAGGACCCCCTGGAAAGACAAGAAAGAGAGGAGGAGAAAAAGTTGGAGTGGAAATTGAGAATGAAGAGGGAAAAGAAGAGAAGGAGGGATGAAGTTAATAGGTTGACCGCAGAGGTGGCGAAGGTGAAAGATTGCAAGCAGGAGGTGCAGGCTCAGGCAAACACCTCGGCCAAAATGGAAAAGGTGTTGGGGTACCTGGAGGTGTTGAGCGCGGCTTGGATGGAGGAACGCCAAGCCAATAGGGCTCAAGAGGTGGCCCTAAAGGCCATGCGGGCAGGTTCTCGGGATTTTGCGCGCGACCTAGTCACCCACGTTGGAGGAGAAGTCAGGCGGTTGAGAGACAATGTGGGGAAGTTCTGTGAGGGCGCAATCGAGGGTGTCAAAGTAGTAGCCGCTGTAGAGAGTGAGGCTAGACCTCGGAAAGAGCCCTTTAAGCTTAAGTTCCCAGATGCATACGGGGGAAAGAAGGAGGAGAATTTTTATAACTGGGAGGCAAGCGTCAATAGCTACGTCTATTTACAGCACATCCTGACTGAGGAGCAAGTCCTCGTCGCCTTCCAGGCCCTCAAGGATGAAGCGGCCAGTTTTGCCAGATCTCTTGCCCACGCAGCCGGTTGTGAAAACAACCTGGTTGCATATTCCAAGGTTACCCCCCTTCCTCACTTCTTCAAGCTCCTGAGGGAGCGATTTGCTGACCCAACGAGAGGCGTTCGCGCCTCTGACAAGCTAAAGACTATCCACTCGCAACAGTGGAGTGCAAGGGCACTCAAGGGCGTCATGGACGACTTAGTAGCCGTCCGAGACCACGGGGTCACTGAGCCCCAGTTGGTCCAGTTGTTTTATCGTGCCATGCCAGAGCGCCTGCGTGGGCATTTCTTTGATAGGTCTCAACAGGCCGACATCACCTATGATGTGTTGAACAGAGAAGTGGTCCTGTTTGAGTCGAAGTCCATGCCAGTATCCACTTTCTGGCATAAGGACCTGGACAAAGGGAAGAAGTGGAAGGGTAGTACCATCTCAGGCCAAGTCAGGGCCAAGGATCACATGATCCTTACCTTAGAAGAAGGTGGTACTGATGAAGTCCCCTACAGTGAGATTGAGTGGGGGTTAGAGGAGGAGGACAGCAGCGTAGGGCAGGGGAGGTCTTATGCGGCTGTCGCGGCTGGAGGGAGGCCGCAAGGTAGAGGAGGAGGTCAGGGCCAAAGGGGCCAGGCCATGGGAGGCCGAAAACCGGGCGCACAGGGAGTTGGCGGACAAGGGAACCGCCAAGTGGGAGGTAGGGGTCAAGGTCCCCCCCCGAATCGTCAAGGTTCTTGTCGGTCCCCACAACGACGAGGTGGAAGGCCACCTCAAGGAGGATGGCACCCAGGCTTGCCATAGGGCAGGCCCTGGGAAGATTTGGGCTTGGGCCAACGCGTATGGCAGGAACGCGTGGACTTGGGTCAGTGCGTGTTTTGTGGTGACCCGGCCCACGTAATTAAATTTTGTCCTAAGTATAGACAGGCCCGATGGGCTGCTCAACAGTCAAAAGGCAGCCGCCAATATGGGTCACAACTGCTCCTACTTCTAGGCCACGTGGGGAAGCAAGCGCGCGCGAACAGGCAACTCCCACACCACATGAGCCTATGGCAGAGGTTGCAGGCCCGTGCCTAGCTAGTTGTCTAGAGACTGTTTGTGTTAGTGTCTCTCTAGGCACGTCCCTCACAGGCGTGGCAGAAGAGTTGAAGGAGAGGATGCCAGCCTGGGCCAAAATGAAGAAGGAGAGTAAGGGACAATTGATCTTGGTAGATGTAGAAGTATTTAGGAGCAGAGTAGGGGCTACCCGTAGTTATATCAGCCGAAGAGCGTTGAAGAAGTTGAGGCTAGGATTGAAAGTCCAAAAATTGGCAGACCCTATAGTCAGTGTCCTCGCAGACAACTGCACGATGCGAGTTGAGGACTACGTAGAGGGAGTCCAGGCGTTCTTTGGAGAAAGTTTTCCATTCCCTGACTCTCCTCGTTCAGGATGACCTTCCTTTCGACATAGTGTTAGGGATGGATTGGGGAGAGGCAGCAGGGGCCACGCTCCACTTGAGAGAGCATGAGTGTAGGCTCCCTAGTTCGTCAGGCGAGGTTAAGACTGCCCGCCTGTTTCACGTGTCAGGTGTAGATAACACCTTGACACATTGCTGTCTCAGTGCTCCCGCGTTCGCGCGACTAGTGAAAAAGGAGCAGTTAGAGGATCAGGTCTTTGTAGTATATGTTAGACCTGTCACTGAGCCTAAGGAAGGAGATAGTTCCACAGATCCAACCATTGCCAAGTTGTTGGAAGAGTTTAAAGACCTAAGCGAGTCGCCAACAGGAGTAGTGTCGCGACCCATCCAGCAAAGAATAGAGATAGAGCCTGGCAGTAGAACTCCTAAGGGAGCAGTCTACAGGATGTCCCCTAGAGAGTTGGAGGAGCAACGTAAGCAGTTAGACGAGCTCCTAGAGAAAGGTTGGATCAGGCCGAGTTCGTCTCCTTTTGGAGCACCTGTTCTGTTTGTTCCCAAGAAGGAAGGAGAACTTCGTATGTGTATAGACTATAGGGGTTTGAATGCTATCACAGTGAAGAATGTTGAACCACTGCCCAGGATAGACGATCTTTTAGATCGGTTGCAGGGTCGCAAGTATTTCTCTAAGATAGATTTGAAGTCCGGATACCATCAGATAGAGGTTCATCCTGATGACCAGTATAAGACTGCGTTCCGGACTAGATATGGGCATTATGAGTTCATTGTGATGCCCTTTGGACTGACCAACGCGCCAGCTACATTTCAGCGTTGTATGAATGATTTGTTTAGACCCTGGTTAGATAAGTTCGTAGTAGTCTATTTAGATGACATATTAGTGTTCAGCAAGACCCTCCAAGAGCATCAGGGTCATTTGAGGCAGGTCTTGGAGAAGCTGAGAGAGGCTAACTTCAAGATCAATTCGAAGAAGTGTGAGTGGGCCAAGACACAGGTTTTGTACTTGGGCCACGTGTTAGACGGAGATGGCATTAAGCCAGAGGACAGCAAGATAGCGGCAATTAGAGACTGGCCGACGCCCCGCACATTGACAGAGTTGCGGTCGTTTCTAGGCCTAGCCAACTACTATAGGAAGTTCATGAGGAACCTCTCCACTATCGCCGCTCCCTTGCGCAGGTTGCTAAAGGAAGAGGCAATCTGGCAGTGGGACAAAGATTGTACGTCTGAGCTAAAGAAGTTAAAGCGCGCGTTGATAGAGTACCCTATCCTCAAAGTAGCTGATTCGTCTTTGCCATTTGTCGTCACCACGGACGCGAGTCAGTATGGTATAGGCGTCGAGTTACAGCAGGACGACGACAAAAGCTACAGACCCGTAGAGTTTATGTCAGTGAGGATGCCCTCAGAGAAGGTTGCTACCTCGACATACGAGAGGGAACTCTACGCTCTCAGGCAGGCCTTAGAACACTGGAAACATTACCTGCTTGGGAGGCACTTCAAAGTATATTCAGACCACGAAACACTTAGATGGTTAAAGACCCAGGCCAAAATGGCACCTAAGTTAACTAGGTGGGCCGCTGAGATAGACCAATATGACTTTGAACTCAAACCGGTCAAAGGTAAGTATAATGTAGTTGCGGATGCTCTAAGTAGGAGATCAGACTACTTTGGAGCTATAGTGCATTATCTAGATATAGGGAGAGACCTGCAGGAGAAAGCAAGACAGGCATATGCGCAGGACCCTATCTATAGTGACCTCCTCAAGAGAGTTAAGGAGGCCCCAGAGACCGAACCACACTACCGCACTACAAAATGATTGTTGTTTGAGAAGACGGATGTATTCGACCGCCTATGCGTTCCCAACAGCGAGGAAATCCGTAGTCTGATCCTAGGGGAATGCCACGATACAGAGGGATACTTAGGTTGGCAAAAGACATTAGCCAATCTAATGCGTGCGTATACCTGGCCAGGGATGAAGAACGATTGCATAGAGTATGTTCGCAGTTGTAAAGTATGCCAGCGGAATAAGACTACTACGCGCGCACCTCTAGGTCTTTTCAGACCCTTGCCTATTCCTGATCAACCTGGAGACTCAGTGTCCATAGACTTCATGGATACTCGGGTCAAGAGCAGGCATGGCATGAGCCAAGTCATGGTCATAGTCGACCGATTTAGCAAGTATGTCGTTTTTGTTCCTTTGCCTGCAGAGGCACGTACAGAGTTAGTAATACGAAAGTTTTTTTATTTTGGGTTAGTGAGAATGGAGTCCCATTGTCAATAGTTAGCGATAGAGATAGTCGCTTCACCATCCAGAACTGGCAAGAACTCATGGGAGTTTACGGATCAAAGTTGTTAATGTCGTCTGGTCGCCACCAAGAGACTAACGGTCAGACCGAGCAAATGAACAAAATCCTACAGCAAGTTCTGCGCATGTATATTAGACCGGACCAAGTCAATTGGGACGAGATGTTGCCCAAGGTAGCTAGTGCATACAATAACAGCGTGCATATGTCCACCTGTCGCACTCCCGATGAGCTGCACAAGTCCTTTAGACCGCGCAGACCATTCGAAGGACTGAACCTGGGCGGTGGAGGGAGAGGGGGGGAGGAGGAGGGGGAGGTCATCCTTGCGCAGGGGTCATGCTAATCTTCCTTCTCTGTATCGTTCCGATTTTAACGGATGTCCCGTTTCTTGTTCAGACAGTTTTTTTTTTCACTGTTGTTGCGGCCTCTGCCATTGGATCACAAATCACAAATCCGTTATGTCTGGGCATGAATTCTCAATTTCTTTTTGTTTTTTGGATAAATTTGGACCATTTTTGGTGCCTTTCTCCTGTTTTCTGTGTCCAAAAGTCATAATAATGAACCTGCCGCACGGGCTTGGGCATAAGCCTAGCCCGGTGCAAGTGGGACCTCCCTCCTCTAGGGGGCGAGGTCCCAACACAGCTCGAGCAGATCACGGATTCCGCCCGGCCTCATTGGCAGGGGACTCGGAAGAATGAGACGAAAAAGCGAACAAAAAAAAAACACAACATTCACAATGTGACCGTGTTAGCCGTAAGATTCATTCTGTGGAAGACTACTGCGAACACGGACTCCTAGACTACCCTGCCCGACATCATTGCAGTGGAGAAAGTATCTTTCTTTTTTTTTTTTTTTCACGCGTGGGCAATATAAAACGAAACTTTAGGGGACTTGCCAAGCCTAGGTCCCACTCCAAATTCTTCGAGAGCGGGCATTTTCCCCTACTTCCCCAACATCATGATTGGAGGAGGTACCAAGTGTTTTAAACCACCAGTACTTGGCCCAGCTATCAGCCGCGGCTTTCCCGTTGACGCCGGCACAGAGTATTGGATTGAATTTTGCCAGAATCTGGACGTGTTTGTGGAAAGGTGCATGAAATCGAGAATGAACTGCTTTTCTGCATCTCTTCATAAAACACATGCAGATTCAGACACTTAATCCAACAATCCTCTTTGCTAGTTGGACCTTGCCCCAGGCGTGTGTGATCACATGCTTGTTGAAAATTACAATCTCAAGACTGCCACGTGTTCTATCTTGTACTTCGGGCCTCACTACGCAACACTCTACATCTATCTGGAGCTCATGACCATCCCAATACATCCCAAACGCTGTACTCCTTCAAATGCACCTCGTCCAGAAAGGCAGACAAATGCATGCAGAATATTGGGTAGCGGAGCAAGTGCACTGAACCTCTTAGTTCAACACCAATAAGCGCACATATTCACACCTCATGCATATATGAGATCACACGAAGTTCACACCAAAGACCAGAGAGATTAAGACCAGATAACGCAGCTTATGAATTCCAACAAGTTATACAAGAGCAATAAGAGTTCTAAGTCACCAGCGCACAACAACGCATATCATAGGTAACCAAACACCCAACATGATCACCCAGGTAAGTATCTTCTTCCTCCCTGCTCTTCTCTCTCTTAGTTGTATCACCCCTCCTTGCTGCTCTTCTCCCGAGCTCCTGACCTTGCTGTGTCTTCACTCCCTACATGCATTCACACTCAAACCACCTTCTACTCAAAGATCTACTCTGAATACTCTGAGTGTGAGTGTGAATGCAAGTGACAACTCTACTGATCCCTCTGAAGTCTACTGCTAACTGCTAGTACCAACATTTCTGCACTGGCGCAGCTATGGCTGCCTTCTCCATGCCAGCACTATTTTCCTCTCTCTTCCTCACTTAGCGCAGCACTCTGGCCTCAGCGCTCTGCTCCTCACTTCAGCGCACAAGTGCACCAGCACTTCCACACTTCTTGCCAATGAGCCATCCCCCCGAATGTGAGGCTTGCCAGTCCTTTTGTAGTCTTCGTTTGCACTTCAACTCGTGCCAGCCTCTGTTTCTTGGGTCCTGACTGGTTCCGGTACCACATCCTCACGGCCAGTCTGCTACTGAATGTCAAGGCCTCGAACCCTCCCGAATTTCCTTTGGACTGCTGCTGCTTGGGCCCTTGAGTCGTGCCTTTTCGCTTGTGAACATGACTTTTGACTATGGACAGTGACTCTTGCCTGTGGGTCACGACTTTTCACTTGTGAACATGACTTTTGACTGTGGACCGTGACTCTTGCCCCATGACTTTTCACTTGAAGATACTACCTTTTACTCGTGGGATGTGTCTCTTCAATATGACTTTTCATTAGGAACCGTGACTCCTACCTTTGATGAGACATGACTCTTGCTTGGTGAATCTGCCTTTTCACTCGTGGGATGTGACTCTTCTGAATGACTTTTTATTATGGGACGTGACTCTTGTCCCTGAGACGTGACTGTTTGCTGAGTGCCTGTTGGACTGGGCTGCTGAGGTACCCGATTGTGACTTTTCTGAGTTTGACGAACTCGGCCTTTCCTCGACCTGGGCATCTGACCCTGAGGTCCAAGTTGGGGTCTGAATCGTGGAAGGCCTTTCACAGGGCCCTTTGTCTTGAACTTGCTTGCCCGTAAGAACTAGCCGGACTGGAGTGCCCCAAGAGTAAGTAGACTGGGGCTGTGTGAGCGAGTGTTAAGAAAAGAAAAAGGGAAAAAAAAAAAAAAACAATCTTAGACGGAACTAAGTGGGGAAAAAAAGGTATACCTGTGCCCTGATTGGATGCTACCAGAGAGGTGATCACCATGTGCTGCTGCCAAAGGGGCCACATCCACTAATCATTGCTGCTCTGTAAAGACGGCACTGACCTCATTGACAAGGCCTTCATTCTCTCCATTCTTCTCTGCTCCCTCTGCATGCACACGTGCAAAACAAGAAACAAATACGAACCTTCATTTTCATTCAGAGCAGCGGTCAAAAGTGAACACAGCAAGTGGGCCTTTGCAGCTTCGTGCACATCTTCTTCCCAAGAAGAAGGGGAGAGAGAGAGAGAGAGAGAGAGAGAGAGAGAGAGAGAGAGAGAGAGAGAGAGAGAGAGAGAGAGAGAAGCACACTGCTTCATTCTGCTTTATTGGATGCTGTAAATTACTGATTTACTATCTACTGACACGTTAAAAATCAACAGTTAGGCATTTGTCCGGTTAGGTTAATTAATAATTACCCCTCTGTCTCTGCAACAGAACTCTCTCTCTCTCTCTCTCTCTCTCTCTCTCTCTCTCTCTCTCTCTCTCTTTGGCACTCCGCCTCAGCTCTTTTTCATGTGCCGCACAGCACTGGCGATGCTCTGGACGACCGTTGTGGGCCACCCCATTGAAGGCACGTGTGGCCCACAACGGTCGTCCAGCATGTAAACGGTACCTAACCATAGCTAACTAACCTAAGCGGTACCTAACTAACCTAAACGGTGCCTCAGCTGTTTCTGACTTCAGCACTCTCTCTGTGGCCGCCCCATTGAAGGCACGTGTGGCCCACAACGGTCGTCCAGCATGTAAACGGTACCTAACCATAGCTAACTAACCTAAACGGTACCTAACTAACCTAAACGGTGCCTCAGCTGTTTCTGACTTCAACACTCTCTCTGTGGCCCACAGCGACAAACGGAAACCAAAAACGAGTGCTGAAGTCAAAAACAGTGCGCAGCCCAGATGCCCCAAAAAGAAAATGGTCACGAAAACACAAGGTCAAAGATTTTTTATCTGCACATGTTGTCCAGTGCCCCCGGCTCAAGGGCCCCGATCGCATCGTCCTTGCTCTCCATCTGGGTACAGGTTTATGGTAAGAGGCACACAGACACAGCAACAGCAGTATGGTTCAACCCCACAATCGACAGTGACGATCCTGAACTGTAGGCCTACACACACATTCGAGTCCCCTTTAACCCCAATACTTCATCATGAAGAGTCTAGACAAGAGGAAGGGGCCACCACAAGCAAAGTCACAAACCATCATGAATGGGAGGCACGTAATTGGGGTGGAGGTATGGGGTGGAGCTCATGGTATGTAGGTAATTGGGGTGGTGGAGATAATTGCCATGGTCGAGGTGATGGGGGCAGGGGGGGCAATTGGGGTGGTCCAGGTCATTGGGGTAGAGGTAATTGGGGTGGAGGCAATTGAGATTGGGGTGGAGGTAATTGGGGTCACTCGCCGAACGTCAGGGGTCGGTCGAGGTAATGGGGGTCGGCGTAATGGGGGTGGAGGTAATTGCAGTGGTGCATGTAATTGGGGTGTGTTAAGGTAATTGGGATGGTCAAAGAGGTAATTGCAGGGGGTGGTGGAGGTAATTGGGGTGGTGCATGTAATTGGTGGGGTGTGTTAAGGTAATTGGGATAGTCAAAGAGGTAATTCCAGGCAGTGGTGGAGGTAATTGGGGTGGTGCATGTAATTGGTGGGGTGTGTTAAGGTAACTGGGATAGTCAAAGAGGTAATTGCAGGGGGCGGTGGAGGTAATTGGGGTGGTGCTTGTAATTGGGATGTGTTAAGGTAATTGGGATGGTCAAAGAGGTAATTGCAGGGGGCGATCGAGGTAATGGTGGTCCGGGTAATGGGCGTGGAGGTAATTGGGGTGGTGCTTGTAATTGGGGTGGTTAAGGTAACTGGGATGGTCAAGGTAAAAAATTGGGGTGGTTACAGTGTTTGGGGTAGAGGTAATTGGGGGTGGAGGCCATTGGGGTTGGGGTGGAGGTAAATGGGGTCACTCATCCAACGTTCCCAGTAAGAGAGAGAATTGCGGGCGGTCGTGAAGGTAATGGAGGCGGTGGTTGGAATTGGGGGGGTGAAGGTTATTGGGGGGTGGTGAAGGTTGGGGTGGAGGCAATTGGGATTGGGGTGAAGGTAATTAAGAGGTGACTCACCCGATGTTCCCAATAAGAGAGGTTGCATATGAAGTCGTAGACGGGTCCGACAGAGCAACAGAGAACAGCGTTGAGTGACAACAACGAGACAGCAGTAAAAAATGGCCGCTTATTGTGCGGCATGGTCGATACTCTGCCACTACGACACTACACCCTCTCTCTCCCAAGCTCCTCGCCTCCTCGATGCAGACAAGTAGGAGATGGATGGCTGGTTATTAACCTTCTTGGTCTCAGAAGACTGGCCTCATCAGGTTCTCTTCACTGAGGCTTTGTTCGTTCCATCAGACACTGCATTGGCAGTCATGTCATGTCCGGCACAACGCCATACATCTATCAATACTCAGATTGCTGAAGCCCAAAACCTAACTGAGAAAAAAAGATTGCGAAAAAAAAAAAAAAAGATTGTGAAAAAAAAAAGAACTAAAAGAGAGATCGTGAAAAGAAAAAAGAAAAGGAAAGACAGATGCTGAAAGAAACCGAATTAAAGAAAAAAAGATGGGGGCAGGGGGCTCGTTTGATTTGTCGAATTGACGGGATGACCCATACGCATGCATCTGCAGCTTTGCAGAGCCGAAAAACATTTGTTTTTATAAATTTTTAATTTGATGGTTTTAGGTCAGCCATATTCGACACATAGGAAAGCTTCTGGAAGTCCTCCTTTCTTTTTTTTCTTTTTTTTTTAAGAAAAAGGAGCTCCACTCTATTGGTGGGGAGCAACACCTGCCGGGAACCGGGCCTGGAGTCTCTTTCTTTTTGGGCGTCCCTCATTCATACCAAGTTACAAAAGATGGTGGGCGCCAGAGAGCAAGACACTCCAGACAAAACCCTCCTCTCCCCCCCCCCCCCCCCGAACAAACCCCTCCTTTTCCTCCTTTCCCCCTTTCCCCCCCCAACACAGCCATTACATTCAGGATTTGGGTACCTTTGTGTTCAGGGGAAAACGGTAGCACCCATCCCTCTTCTTCTTCTTCTTCTTCTTCTTCTTCTTCTTCTTCTTCTTCTTCTTCTTGCTAAAGGCACCAGCGTTCTCAAGGAGCCCTGGCTGGGGCTACTAGAGAACCTGGTACAATGGGATAAGAGTAGGCGTCCGAAATTTTGTGGAGGTTACAGCCATGAATAAGGACCATACTTACAGAATAATTGTCCGATTTACTTCACGTTAAAAATTTTTCGTGTAGGCAGTTATTGCTATAGAAGGAAGAGCTGTTCACCGGCGGCCGACTACCATACTACCAGGGTATATAAATTCTTTATAGGCTTTTGTTTTGTCTTCGGGAGTACGTGGCACTAGGCTAGTCAGTATGCCACGGCACCCCGCTGCCAGTTAAGCAGTCCAGTCACGATGCTACCGGGTCTGTACCCGCCCAAACACAAAAGAGTGGGAAAACATACTGCGATTTGAAAGTGTACAGGGGCCTCGGCCCACTACACAGAGTTGCGTTTAGTTGCGACAGCTTTGTGACTCCTAAGAGTCGTGGATTGTGAAAAAATCCAGCGGTCGTTGGATATGCGCCCACTACACAGTGTTGCGTTTAGTTGCGACAGCTTTGCGACTCCTAATGTGAAAAAATCCAGCGGTCGTTGGATATGCGCGCGGAGATGGCAGCTTTGGAGCCCAAACCGGACGTTTTCATTGGCAAAAAGCATGTCAGCGCAGCACACGGCGAGGCCCTCGGCGTTTAGTTTACTATCATCAAAAATGTGTCATAGCTAACTAAACGCCCTAATTCCTCTTCGGTCGAATTTGCGGGCAGAATCGGCCTTCGCATGAAGGCTTTTCGTTTATTTGTGGCGGGTTCTTGTGTGTGGGCCGTTCTTGTGTGTCATAGCTTTGGAGCACTGACTTCCGGTAACACGTGAAGAGGCAGGGGTATTTACGCAACTCAACAGATGTAGCAATTCGAAGACCCGTCATGGTGGTTGATGGCCCTCCTGATGTGCCGATCGGACGGTGTCAAAAGCCTCCCAGTCATTGGCAGACAAGATTTTCCCGCCTGCCGTGGTGTCGCTCAGTATGATTTTCTGCTAATAAACCTTGCATGTGGGCCGAGGCCCCAAGTTTCGCGAGGCACGCCTGTAACTGACTGGATGGACGAGTCCCGTAGTAGGAGTAAGGCAACGATCCATGACACCCGAATTAACCCAATGAGAAAGCAGAGCTAGAGAAAAGAGAGGATTTAGGAAAGTGTACGTTGGAGAGACTATCTGCGGAAAAGGAAAATTCTAGCCTATGCATAGTGCTCTGAACACGTGAACATGCGGCGAAAGCTGACCTAAAGGGATAGTAGCTGTGACGGCGATCGGAAGACTGCGTGGTTCGACTATCTGATGCCCGTTGAGGGGCCAACACATAACAGAATTTACAGAGTCCGCCGCAGTGTCTGTGCGGCAGACCAGTCGTAGCCGTAGTAGCTCGTGGAAGTGCCCATTGGGGATTAGAATACCGTGCTGGCTAGGCTCACAACTCGTTGTACAGTATATAGGAGGGCAAGGCCGTATCGGCCCTCCATACTCAGAAGGTTGGGATGATTGTCGGCGGGCCGCAAGGCAGGGTCATGTGGGAAGCCCCCTGAGGATGATCGCGTCGGGGAATGTGTGTGTGAGCTGAGATTAGTACGCGCTGCTATGTATGGAAGAACTATCGAAGCATGTACGAATGGCAGTTGGCCCCTGTTTTCACTATTTACTATTCACTATTCTTCTTCTTCTCTTCTTCATTTTCCTTATGCTTCTTCTTCTTCTTCTTCTTCTTCTTCTTCTTCTTCTTCATTTTCCTTATGCTTCTTCTTCTTCTTCTTCTTTTCTTCTTCATATTCCTTATGCTTATTCTTCTTCTTCTTCTCCTTTTCTTCTTCTTCTTCTTCTTCTTCTTCTTCTTCTTCTTCTTCTTCTTCTTCGGCTTCGGCGTTGTTATTGTCTTCTTCGTTTTCTTCTTCGTCTTCTTCTTGGCAGCTGTCACATCTAACACCAGCTGGCGGAAAGCTTTCCTGTGCATCGAATATGGACAAACCGTAACTGTCAACAGACAGACCACAAGTTCGAGTCCTGAGGAATTAGAATCAGATGGAGACGGTAAATGTGAGAGAAGGGGGGCCGGGGCAGGCAGGGAACTGTGAAGAAGTTATATTCCATCTCCATCACTCGGTTGATATGCTACGTTTTTTCCGTTTTATGCTATGGGGTTCATTGATTTGTCACTCACCTGTATACTACGGATCAGTGGTGCTAGCAAGTGCTGGCCAAAACCTGCTTTGTACCTGGTCAATCATGCAGATAGTCACAACAGCTATGCTGGTCTGCAGCTGGTCTATACTGTGGGTCGGTACAACAGGTATTCTGGTCCATACCGCAGGTTAGCACCACAAGAATGCGGGTCTATATACTCTATACCTGGCCTGGTCTATACCGTTGATCAATACAACAGTTGTATTGATCACCGGTATAGACCAGGCCAGGTCTATTCCTGGACCAGGTGTGTGTCTGGACTGTACTCAGGGTCAGGCAAACAACAGGTATGCTAGTGTGTACTGCCGGTTAGTACAAGGCGTATGCTGGTCTATACATGGTCTACACTTGGTCTATATCTGGTCTATATCTGGTCCAACCAATCAATCAACCAATCAATCAATCAATCAATCAATCAATCAGTCAGTCAATCAGTTAATCAGTCAATCAATCAATCTGGGAGGAAAGGCAACCAATCAAATCGACTCAGTCTAGATCAAATCAAATCAATCAATCTAATCAAATCCCACCAATCCAATCAATCCAATCATCCTATCCCATTCCAATCCAATCATCGTATCCCATTCCATCCCATGCCATCCATCCACCCCATTAAATCAAAATCGATCAATCAACCAATCAGGCCAACCCATTGCACATACCCATCATAATGACCTTCGGCTTTATGTGGATGATGTCCTCCTCCTCCTCCTCCCCCTCCTCCTCCCCCTCCTCCTCCCCTTCCGCCTCCTCCTCCGCCTCCTCCTCCTCCTCCTTTCCGATTTATCTTATCTTCTTATCCTCCTCAACAAACATTGCCCTCTTGTTTTTTTCCCCTTTTTTTCCGTTTAAAGGGCGTAGACACTGACATTATTAGTATTTTAATACATCTGATTTCATCAGGCTTCGAACGATTGATCTGTTTGCTCACAATTACATATGTAACTTCACCGGTCAGCGACTACGTAGTAATTAGCGGGCAATGATAGCAAAAGTTTGTTATTATGAGTCAGAATTCGAATTCGAATTCGAATTCGAATTTTTTGTGGGACACACTGCCAACACGTAACCGACTTACGCAGCAAGCCGAGGCAGTGTGTTGTGTGTGCTGCTACCTTCTTCCCCCGAATGCAACGTACGGTCATTACAGCTGTATTTAGGCTGAAAGATGGCCCAAATACAGCTACTATAATGACCGTACGTTGTATTCGGGGTAAGAAGGTAGTACGCCTGTAGGTAGGTGACGACTGTATATGAAGAAGAGGGCAAGAGGCCTACGGCCCTCTTGTCTCAGCTGATCGGAAGGTTGGTGGTGGTCCCACAAGGCGTAGCAGTC